CTCAAACCTGTGGTGTGTTTCAAAGAGGCCAGTCCACAAGCAAAGCTCGAAGAATATCAAGGAACCGGAAACCTTCTGCATGGAAGAGTGTCCAAGATCCCTTAAAGAGTGCGAATTTCAGAAAGTGGCCGAGTGCTGTTTTTGAGGAAGCCTTACCAAATATTATTAAAGTGGGGTCCAATATTTCTGAAACATCAAGGTTTTTTGTTCCAAAACAGTTCAAATGAAAACATACAGCTTACCCATTTGTTTAAGCCTAAATTATCACTTGTGTGGTTTATATAACATATTGATTTTATTTAACATATTGATTATTTTCACAAAGGATGGCAATAATTCTGCTGTTGACTGAACATATGCCTTTCAGGAGAACTGATATAAACCTCTTACAGATATTAAGATTTATTGATTGGTGGCGTGGGAGCTCACAGATAGTTGGGACTGATAGAAAGAAGGGAAAATTTAAAGCCAGTAAAAACCTCAGAAAAAGTTCAAACACCTATCACTCGACTTTGCTCTTTTAGATATCCTCTAAACGGGGGTCATTTTAGCTTCAGTTAGTTGGAACCAAGCCTGTGCTGTGGTGTGCCGTGTTTGGCCTGCTAACTAAGCAATTGTTAGTTTAGCCAAAATGCTTCAGTCCCTAACAGCATGGGACAGATTCAATTTTGGCTTTCTGTCAGTTCACTTCCAATCATTTGACTTTTGCTCTCTCAGACAGTAGATTTTATCAATTACAGTTGTGTCAGCAGAGTAGCTGTTAGAATCAAGCATGTACTGTAGTGTGTGGGCTCTGTAGCCTTCAAGCTACGAGCAAACAAACACCACAGAATAGGTTTAATTTTGTCTTCCTAGTTTGCTTTCCTAGTCCTTCCCAGTCCAGTTGCTTAACTTCACTTCCTCAGATTTTAATTGTTATCATCTAAACTTGTGGCAGTGCCTTAGTTAGCCAGAATTGAACATGTTCTGTGGTGAGCAGAGCTGTTATTATGCTTTATTAGATAGACGGATTGACAATTATTGAATGATGGCTTGAGAATAATACACAGTGTATACTTACTTGGTGACCAAGTTAGCAAACCAACATATATGCTTTTATGTCACTTACCATGTGCCCCTATTGTGTGTGTGTGTGTGTGTGTGTGTGTACATAAGTCTTCCCAAACCTGGTAGGAACACACCTACATATTTGTGTGCTTGGTGTTAAATGTGTGACCAATTAAACGCTGTATTTTGGAGATCAGTCCATAAAGAGCACTTAATTGGCTGCTGGCAGCTTACAAAGCCAACTTACTGTTCTTTATTATCTTCTTAATATTATTCTCGCTACCTGGGATACTATAGCAACATCATACCAACACTTCAGCAACCACTGTAGATATCATAGCAAGGGCAATGGCCTAGCAGCACCTTAGCAACCACCCGAGGGTACCATAACAGTGGCCTAGCAAAACATTAGCAACCACCTGAGATTCCATAGTAACAGCCTAGCAACACCTTAGCAACCACTCGTGGTAACATTACAGTGGCCTAGCACCACCTTAGTAACCACCTGGGATTCTATAGCAACAGCCTAGCAAGACCTTAGCAACCACCCAGGGTACCATTACAGTGGCCTAGCATCACCTTAGCAACCACCTGGGATTCCATAGTAACAGCCTAGCAACACCTTAGCAACCACCCAATGTACCATAACAGTGACCTGGCACCACTTTAGTAACCACCTGGGATTCTATAGTAACAGCCTAGCAATATCTTAGCAACCACTCGTGGTACCATTACAGTGGTCTAGCTTCACCTTAGCAACTACCTGGGATTCCATAGTAACAGCCTAGCAACACCTTAACAACCACCCGGGGTACCATTACAGTGGCCTAACATCACCTTAGTAACCTCCTGGGATTCCATAGTAACAGCATAGCAACACCTTAGCAATCACCCAGGGTACCATAACAGTGGCCTAGCATCACTTTGGTAACCACCTGGGATTCTATAGTAACAGCCTAGCAACACCTTAGCAACCACCTGGGGTACCATAACGGTGGCCTAGCAACACCTTAGCTACCACCTGGGATTCCATAGCTGTGAGGAATCAGACTGGGTTGGTTGCATGCAGGTGCATAGAGAAGAATTTTTAATGTTATCAGGAAAAGAGTCCATAGAGGTCAAGCAGTTGGCGCTTGTCAATACTCAGGTGAGCTATATCTTTGGAACAGCTCACGATTGGCCGATGGCTCTGGCATGTTAGTCATGTGTTTCGATGTTGCATCCTGGGAAGTGGAGTTTTCTGGGAGATCAGCCTCTGAACTGACCAATCCGGAGGGAAACGGGACAATAGCAAATGCCCTGCAACACTTAGTAACCACCTGGGATGCGATAACAATGGCCTAGCAATTTTAGTGTGTGTGTGTGTGTGGGTGGGTGTGTGTGTGTGTGGGTGTGTGTGCATGTGTGAGTACACAAGTCCTCCCAGACCTGGCAGGACCACCCTCCATTTGTGAGTTATTGCTGTTCAATTAATTCTGCTGTATTTTGGAAATCAGTCCACAAAGAGCACTTAATAGGCTAATGTATCTTAATCAATTCCAAATTAATTAAGCTGTAACCTCTGAGTATGAATAATAAAAAGGCATTTAAGCATGCTGAATAGATTCATAAGCATGTGAAATATAATGAAACAATTATTAACGCCCAATTCATGCACTCACACGGGCGCATGCACAATATTGTTGCGGAGTTATAGAGGAAAAGCTTTTTCAAGGTTATTTCTCGCTGCATGTGCGTACTTTTCATTCTCCCATTCTCGTGTTCCTGTGTTTCTCCACCCCACCTCCCCCTCCCCCTCTCTCTCCCTCTCTTTTTCTGTCTCACACTCCCTCTGAGAAAGCTGCCATCTGGACCACTCTCATTTTGGACACACACACACACACACACACATGCACGCACAGTAAATCTGGCATGCTGCTTTCACATCTGGAGATAAATAAATAGAGCTACAGAGACGTAACGGTAGCTGTGACCGCGTCTAAAGTATACATTTAAATACATGGCTGTTGTTAGGACTTTTTCTATCGCTGTTTTTTCTTCACTCTGATTCAATCTGGTGTGTTTGTGATAGTGTGTGTATGTGTGGTTGGCTAATGAGCAGCTGTGATGAAGGCTTCACTTGTGTGTAATTAAGAGCACATCTACCTGCTGGTCCTGGGGATCCCCTGCACTTTCACAAACTCTTATACATGTTTACAGGCACTTGTGCCAGATCACTTTCACTATAAAACTGATAGTTCTGGTCCGAAAACCGGCGCTGTTGTAAAATACTTGACATATGCACATCTGTGGCCGCACACAATGCATGCATTCTGTATTCTTGTGCCAAGTTGCACAAAATCCTTGTGCTGTTAATGAAATAATTTAAGTCGGCTTGACAAACTGTTACTGTTCTTCATTGATATATCGCTGTTTTGGAGGTTGGAGGTTTTCTTCCGACAGCAGTGATATTCTTATTATTCTATGCTGCCTGGGATACCATAACAATGGCCTAGCAACACATTATCAACCATCTGGGAACCCACAACAATGGCCTACTAACACTTTAACAACCACTCTAAATACCATAGCAACCTCACAACACCTTAGAAACTACCTGGGATAACATAGCAACGGCCTATTAACGTTTATCAACTGCCTGGGATACCATAACAGTGGCCTAGCAACACTTTAGCAACCACTCTGTATAGCATAGCAACCACCTAACAACACCTTAGCAGCTACCTGGGAAAACATAGCAACTACCTATTAACTTTAAGCAGCTGCCTGGGATACCATAACAGTGGCGTAGCAACACCTTAGCAACCTCTCTGAAAACCATAGCAACCACCTGATAACACCTAAGCAACTACCTGGTAAACATAGCAACTGCCTATTAACATTTAGCAACTGCCTGGGATACCATAACAAAAGCAACACCTTAGCAACCACTCTAAATACCATAGCAACCACCTATCAACACCTTAGCTCCCACCTTGGATGGTATAGCATCTGCCTAGCAAGATCTATTGATTTATAATATAATAATAATAATTTCCATACAACAATTTCATTCTGTGTGAATTTTATTATAACCTCATTCGTAATGTTATTTATCTTCCCCAATCAATATAAAATAAAAATAATATGATGAATGATAATATTCACGTACGGCTCATTGCTATTAAGGTATTATTTTCCCAAGTGTAAACTTAGGGGTTAGGGTTTGTGACAGTCACCTCCCAACAGTAAAGTGTCTTATAAATGATGATCAGTCTGTGTATATTTAGTTTCTTACCGTATCTGTTATAGAACTGAAAGATCAATTGTTTTATTACGACATTGCAATTTATGCAACTCACGAGAGCTGCAATTAATATTATTTATATAATACATTATCAACAACATTGTCTCAACAAGTTTTAAATGGAAAATATTGAACTAATAACACAGAGCTTACGAGCTGCCTCAAGATGAGTTTGACCAATCAGAAGCAACAAAACACTCATGTTCTGTATATGTGACATCAAAACCATCACAGCTAACTGGTAGTCTGATGCACTCAGTGTTTAAGCCTCATGCCAGAAAAAGTGGATATTCTGGTCTTCTTGGGAAAAAAAAAAACAAGTCTGGAAATTAATTTATAGAAAATAATAAATCACAATCGCAATATTGGTCAGAAAAATAAGATAATAAGGTATTTTCCCCAAATTGTTTAGCCCTACTATATTAATTGTTTGGGTTTAAATTGGTCATAGCGCAATCTTTGTAAATATTTAAGGTCCAAATATCCTTGTTGTGTTTTTATTTAGTTATTTTTTTTACTGTGAGACCACAGTTTGAACTAATTCAGTCCATTCTGTCAACCAAGAAAGTGACGCGCAAAATGTTGCTATAATTTATGAGCAAATGTCTGATTACAGTTTTTAAGCAGAAGGTCTAACTTCTATTTTGTCCCTCTTTCCGCTCTTTAGAGCTCCTGGGTTCTGCCAAGCGGGTGAACGTGAACTTCCAGGACACAGACGGGTGAGTTTGATTAATGTTTTGACCCAACCTATACATACACTGTTAAGCTGTGCTTGTGAAAGTACTGAATGTTTAAAAACCTTCTTTTTTTCACTTTACAAAAGGACAGAGGGGCAAAAAGGGCATAAATCACCTCCACAAATAGCCGAAATAGGCTATTTAAAAATATACATGGAGAGAAAAATGCTGCCATTTGTACATCTTACTGACTCTGAACAGAGTGGAACCCTGGCAGGAGGGTTACATTTCTTGAAAGTGTTAGAATAGGTTGATCTGGTAGTTTATGTAGTTTATTAATACAGCACCATTTCCAAAACAAAAGATGGGACGCTGTGCAGAATGTAAATAAAAATAGGATGCAATGATATGCAAATCATGTAAACCATAATTTTAAAGGAAAATAATAAAGACAACATACCAAATGTTGACACTGAGACATTTTATTGTTTTTTGGAAAATATATGCACATTTTTTAATTTGATGCCAATAACACATTCTAAAAAAGGATTACAGCTGCTCAACAGTTCTGGGTCTCCTTGTGCCAAATGTGCCAAATGTTTTCAGAGGTGACAGGTCTGGACTGGAGGCAACTGGACTCTTTTAATATGGAGCAATGCTGTTGTAATATGGGCAGAATTTGGTTTGACATTGTTTTGCTGAAATAATCAAGGCCCTGAAAAAGACGTTGTCTGGATGGCAGCATATGTTGCCAAAACCTGTATACATCAGTCAGCAATAATGGTGCCCTCACAGATGTCCGCATCACTCATGCTATGTACACTAATGCTCCCCTATACCATCATGAATACTGGCTTTTGAACTGTGCACTGATAACAAGCTGGGTGGTCTTTAGCCCGGAGGACGCAGCGTTCATGATTTCCAAAAAGAATTTCAAATGTTGATTTGTCAGACCACAGGACACTTTTCCATTTCACCTCAGTCCAATTTAAATGAGCTCAGGCCCAGAGAAGGTGGCAGCATTTTTGGATCCTGTTTATTTTACAGTTTCTTCTTTGCGTTTTAGAGTTTTGACTTAAATTTGTGGATGCAGCGACAAACTGTTTTCACAGACAGTGGTTTTCAGAAGTGTTTCTGAGCCCATGCAGTGATTTCCACTACAGAATCATGTCTGTTCTTAATGCACTGCTGCCTGAGGGCCCAAAGATCACAGCCAGCAAATACTGTTTTTTGGCCTTGTCCCTTGCATACAGAGATTTCTCCAGATTCTCTGAATCTTTTAATGTTATTATTCACTGTAGATGATGAAAAGCAAAAGTTCTTTGCTATTTTACATTGAGAAACGTTATTCTTGAATTGTTGCACTATTTGTCCGCACAGTCTTTCACAGAGTGGTGAATCCCTCCTTATCTTTACTTCTGAAAGATGCCAATTAACCACCATGTGTTTTTTTAGCATTACATAACATTACCAGCCTTTTGTTGCCCCCGTCCCAACTTTTTTGAAACTCAGAATGGGCATATTATTAAAAGAAACAATAAGATTTCTCAGTTTCAACATTTCATATGTTGTCTTTTTAGTATTGTCAATTAAATATAGGGTTTAAATGATTTGCACATCATTGCTTTTTGTTTTTTTTTCACATTTTGCACAGCATCCCAACTTTTTTGAAAATGGGATTGTACTTTATGCTTTGCAGAGGGCAAAGATGGATAAATGTCTGTGTTCTTGAGTATCTCTTTTCTTACTTTGATCAACTTATCTGCTCTTACATTGTAAATATTAGAGAAATCAAACTTTTATTTGATGTAAATTTACCATAAGAAAACAAAAAATCTTATCTATTTTTAACTATGTGTGTCATAATTGTTGGCAGCCCTGCATCCAGTATTTTGTGCAATAACTGCTATTATTATTTTTTAGAAAGGCAGAAATAACACTTTTTTGCTTCTGCATTTAAATGGAACACTACATTGATAAAGATGAACTCAAAACGTGTGGAAATAATGAAAATATGAATGATAATGAACATCTTACTGGAGGTGCAATTACTCTATTGTGGGGCTCTTATTTTTCTAAGCTCAAAAATGTCATTTGGTTTGTGAATAATTCCACATGCCCCAGCTTGTATGCAAAGCACAATGCAGTGTAGTCATTGTCAGCAGTGACGAGCTCAGTCTACTTAGTGGTGTTGGACAGCTCACTAGTTAACACTGTTTTATGCAGCACGTCAATGTGAAAATTAGATATGCTACTTGAGCTGATTGAAGACATGCTTCAGCGCCTCTGAGGGGTTTTAGTATACCCAGGTTTTGTTGCAAATAATGTAGATGCTGATGAAAATACCTATTACAAGGTCTTTCTGTATAAAACATATCTGATGTTTCTTCTTTAAAAACAAACAAACATTAAAATGAGCTTCTTTTGATTTAAGCACTTAAGAAGAGCATCCAGAAGTTACTCAAACACTGTACTGAACCCACAGGAGGAACGACACAGCTAACGTCACATCACACAATGTGACTGTGTGCTATTTCATGCAAAATTTGTTTTAGGATTGGATCAGATTCCTTTTCCTCTTTTTTTTTGCTGATATTGACCTGATATTCATCTCTGCTAAAGCCTGAGTAGACTGATAAATCAATGTGATGATCAGTTATTAATCTCAGTGTTACTGAGCTCTACTAAAGCCTGAGTAGACTGATAAATCAATGTGATGATCAGTTACTAATCTCAGTGTTACTGAGCTCTGCTAAAGCCTGAGTAGACTGATAAATCAACGTGATGATAGTTATTAATCTCAGTGTTACTGAGCTCTGCTAAAGCCTGAGTAGACTGATAAATCAACGTGATGATCAGTTATTAATCTTGGCGTTGCAGGCATCAATTTCAGAATGAGCGTATTTACAAAAACAATAAAGTTGATGAAATTAAACTTTAAACATCTTGTTTTCGTACAGCATTCATTTAAATGCAGCTCAAAAATGACATAGTTTTAAAGTTGCTAGAATGATGTGTTGCCTATAATAGCCATATAATTGAACTGTATTTGCATATTCTTGACCAAATTCCTTCTTTTGTTAACCACTAACACTGATAAATCATGATTAAATGTATCTTTTCCTGCGTAATTTGGTATCTCACACAGATTTCAAAGCTTCTGCCAAGATTAGGGTTAGATTTGTTTATGTTGCCTTGGTTACAAAGCTGTCACTCACTATGCAGTGTGAAATGCTTTTCAGTCTTGAAGTTGAGATTTTCTAGCTCTGGTCCTCTACAGAAAACATTTTAATGCATAAGTACTGTTTATTTGCTGAATTGACCATACTGGTAAAATTTGGTGGCATGTGAAAACGTTATAGCACATTTTGTATTTTTTGTGTTATGTTTTTCAATATGTTAAACAATGTAATATATAAATGAACTTTGTTTAATATAAATTGCAGGAAAAATGCCATATTATAATATTTGCAAACCAGTTGGGAGCTCATTTAAGGAAGTTTAAGAACAGCCAGATTCCCCCGAATAGCGTAGCTTCAAAGTTCTCCAGCTCACTCATTTTAACTGACCATGTTTCACCTAGATTAATTCTAATAGCTGTGATATATTTGAATAGGTTTCATATTTTTTGAGATCGTTGCTGTTTAAGAAGTGTTGTAACACTCTTGCAGAATGTCTGAAGAATTAGTTTCCATGTGACCCAGCACTTAATGATTTGGGTTGATAGGTTAATGAATGGATGAATGATGCATAAGGGTTTGACCGATGCATATTAGGAGGCAGCAGTGTGTATGTGTGTGTATGTGTGTGTTGCTGGGGGCTGTGTGAGAGAGAAAAAGCTCTTACTCATGGAAGTAGGTCAGAGCTTCCCGCTCAGCTTGGCAGTGAGGGAGTGAGGGAAAGAGACCTAGCTGCTCTGAAGTGAACAATACTTACGGGCTGTCTTAACCACTGTATGATGGAAAGGCGTAAAATTGCATTTGTAGGACTTTCAAAGTGTGCGTTTGTGGTTTGTGTTACAGGTTCTCAGCTCTCCACCACGCTGCTCTGAATGGTAATTTGGAGCTGATCTCTCTGTTGCTGGAGTCACAAGCCGTTGTTGACATCAAAGACCAGAAAGGTGAAATCACGGTCATGCATACACACACACATTTGTTTTTATACCTTGTCAGGTAGTCATATTTATTGTGTTTATTTATAAGTACCTATATGTAAAAATATTTTCCATATGTATTATATATGTATTTTCCATACGTAAGTACCTGTACTATATTGCCAAATGTTTGAGGTGTTCCTTCTCACCACTGGAGTTCCTTCTCACCATACTTGTTAAACCATGTCTTTACAGGGGCACAGTCAGGCTGGAACAGGAAAGGGCTTTCCCCTAAAAACAAAGTTAGAAGCATGTAGTTGTCTAAAATGTCCTTGTATGCTGTTGCATTCATATTACCCTTCGGTAGAGCTAAGGGGCTGAGCCTAAATCCCAAAAAAAAGAGCCCCAGCCCATTATCCCTCCTCCACCAAACTTTACTGTTTGGCCAACACTTGGCATTGCACATAGTGATCTTAGGCTTGTGTGCGAACGCTCCGCCATGGAAACCCCTTTGATGAAGCTTCCAACGCACAATTATTGTGCTGTTGTTACTTCTAGACGCAGTTTGGAGTTCTGTAGTGAGTGATGCAACAAAGGATATGTGATTTTTATATGCTACGTGCTTCTGCACTCAGTGGCCTCCTCTGTAAGTTTGCTTGGTCTACTGCTTAATTGCGGAGCTGCTGTTTCTCCAAGATGCTTCCATTTCAAAATAACAGCACTTAGAACTGGGCAAATATAGCAGGGCAGAAATTTCTCAAATTGATTTGTGGCAGATGTGGCATCCTGTGACCCTAAGAAGTCACTGAGCTCCTCAAACCATTCTGCTGCCAATGTGTGTGTATTTTATACACCTGTTAGCAATGGTTGTGGCTGAAACACCTGAAGTCAATAAATAGGAAAGGTGTCCACATACTTTTGGCCTTATTTGTAATAGGTCTCATATGTTTTACACATTCATATGTTTTTTTTTCTATCAAAACGCTAACCCCTACTTTAACCTCAGTAACCTGCTGAGTAACAGTGTTGACTTTCAGTAGCAAATGTTTTTTTTTATGGTGAAAACTGTTGCATAAGGATTACAGTGCACACGATCCTTTGTGCCAGTTGTGATCTCTTCAGCAGCAAAGGATTAAAGATGAAAGAGAGGTGTAGGGTGAAAAGAATTATTTGTGAAAGGCATCATGTTGCTCTACCTCATTTTAAGTATTCCCTGCTGAATGTTTGTAACTTTTCCTTTGCTTCTTGTACAGGGATGCGGCCGTTACACTATGCTGCCTGGCAGGGAAAATGTGAGCCAATGAAAATGCTGCTAAAGGCGGGATCATCAGTCAACAGCCAATCAGATGAAGGGCAGATTCCATTGCACCTCTCGTCCCAGCATGGCCATTATGATGGAGTGAGTCCACAGAGGCACTTAGGTGTTGATACACAGAGACATAAATGCATGAAAGTGAGAACTAATGTGTAAACACACAGACACTAAAGCGACGGTTCAGCCAGATATCAAATTTACATTAGTTTTCCCTTACCCTAAATATGGTCAATCAGCCACATGTTTGGTGTCACAAACGTCATTCCACAAACAAGAAACCTAAAAAAGGCCTTCCATTATCAATAACCCTTCTCATGTCCTCCACCTTGCCTTTGAACTGTTATCTCTGCCTTAGATGTTGTTTAGTGGAAGGTGACTTTTTGTCCTGGAGGCCAAGATCAATCGTTGATCAGATGGATCAATAACTCAGTTTACATGCAAATAACAGTCTAACAAAGGTCTTAGTCTAAGAAACTGGACCTTAGGCCATTTATACTGTCAATCCAAAACAGTCTTACCACCTGCCCATTATGCTGTAGGTCCTCTGCATGCTACTAAAACAGATCTGACCCACCGAGATATGGACTCTACAAGATTTCTGGCACCAAGACATAAGAAGCAAATCCTTTTACTTCCTGTAAGTTGGGAGCAGGAGAAACCACATATCGGACTTCTTGTCCCAGCAGATCCCATAGATGCTTAATCAGATTTAGACCAGGATTGATTTGAAGGCCAAGGCAACTCCTTTGAACGTGACGCTTTAAAATATGTTCCTTACCACTGCCTTTGAGGAATTGCAATGCCATGAAGAACCTGATCCACAACAGTGTTTAGATAGGTGACCCAGGGTTTCCCAGCAGAACATTGCCCAGAGCATGACACTCCCTCCACTAGCTTGTCTTCTTCCCTCAGTGTATCCTGGTGACATCACTTCCCCAGGTAAATGGCGTAAATGTACCCTGCAGTCCACGTGATGTTAAAAAAAATTAGATTAATCAGACAAGGTGATCTTCATTCCTGCCCAGTTCCATTGTGGGTATATTCGATGGTGGACAGGGGTGAGCATGAACACTCTGACCAGTCTGTGGCTATGCAGCCCCATACACTGCAGGGCGCCATACACTGTGTGTCTTTCCTCTTGTAACCATCATTATAAATTTCTGTGACTTATGCAACAATAGCCATTCTGTTTGTTCAGATCAGTCAAAATAGCCTTCCTTGCCCTTTCGCATCGAGAGTCATGGGTGCTCAACACATTGATTCCAGTTCGTAGTTAGTCCCTTCTTGGACCACTGTTGATAGGTACTCACCACTGCTGACTGGGAGCACCGCACAAGCCTTGCCATTTTGCAGATGCTCCAATTCCATAAAGATGTGGCCTTTGTCAAAGTTGCTCAGGCCTTCATGCCTGCCATTTCTCCTGCTTCCAACATGTCAAATACTACAACTGACTGTTTGGTTACCAACTAATATAGTCTAGATCTTGACGTGTGTTACAAGATAATCAACATTATTAATTTCTTCTGTGACCTTCTGAGTGATCGTAATATTTTGGCTTATTGGTGTATAGTCCTGTCTACATGCATACCAGTGTAGTCTGACTTTCAGTGTGAAACACCCCCTTTATGACAACCACCATTTCCCACCATTTAAAAATACCTGCATTCATAGGCATCAACTGTAGGGGGGATTAAGTTATTGGTAACCCAAAACTAAAGAAGGGGGCAATGCCCCTTCAATCCTAGTGCAAAGCTTGAGAAATGCCACAGTACTGAAACTGCACAGACCAGTCTGATGACAAATGCTGAAGTGTACCTGTTGGAAAACAGTAGAGATTTTAAGCATGCACAGGTGCTGTGTCAACCAGAAAAAATGCTGTTTTCCATGTGCATATATTTTACTTGCTGGTTCTTTCCCCCTGTACATGGTTCCCTGATTTCCTGCCAATTGGGCTAGTTTGAAAATGCAGATGTGGGTGGGACAGTAAAAGGATTCATGAATGAGTGGATGATTTGTTAAATGTAAAGAGATGACAAAGATGAGGGTGTCTATTCCTCTGCACAAAGTGCAAATCTTTTCGCCTTTGTCACTTGTGTTTTTTTGGTGTCATAAAGATGTCATGCACATGGTACTGCCACAAAATGTTGCCAAAACTCTGTGAGTCATCCAAATCTTGTATTGGCTGACCAGTATCAGTATCGTGTAAAGCTAGGTTATGGGTCTCTTGAGTGGCACTGTCTAACTGTCTAAGCGATGGTCCTCCCTGTCCTCCCATCAATGAGTGCAATACTAACTAGCATGGGCTTCTCTTAGCTGGCATAACAGAATTTGACATGTGTTAAGCTCCAATGATGTTGTGTTAGCAGCAGTTTAAAAAGATGTGGAGGTGGTTCATGTGTTTTGAAGGAAGCACATGCTAGCCCAGCTTGATAGCTTCATGTGATATGGGGAGAGCTAGCTAGTGGGTTGAAATTGGCCACAACTGATTTGTGAAAAAAAATAAGTAGTAGCAACCATCTTGAAGCCTGAATTTTGTGTATTTTTGTCCATATTTATAGATGACAGTATGGCAGAACCACATATGAAAGTCTAATTGAGTTTGAGGCATTAATGAGGTCATTTAAGCCTACAGTTTGCACAATGCTAATCGTGGCTGTTAGTTTACATTGCTTGTTAGCTACATTAGCCTCGTAGCTCCAGTCCAAAAGTAAAGAAGCAAACTTCAGACACAAAACATGTCTTGGCTAATTGACTACATTTGGGCTAAAGGGGGACAATTATGTAAATTTGTTTACACTGCTATGTTCTTGCGTTGCTGTGCTCACGCACTGCTATGTATTGCTGTATTTTGTTTGTAGAGTGAGATGCTGCTGCAGCACCAGTCTAACCCATGCATCAGAGATCACGCAGGAAAGACCCCTCTAGACCTGGCCTGTGAATTTGGACGAGTCTCGGTCAGTTACTCTGGACACTTTACCAGCGACACTTGCTATTGAGGTCAGGTTACCTGAGAAAAGCTCAAAGCTTTTTGTGTGTTTGTGTGTTATAGGTGGTGCAGTTGCTTCTGAACAGTAATATGTGCGCTGCCATGCTGGAGCCCAAGCCCTCTGATCCCAATGGAATCAGCCCTCTCCACCTGGCTGCCAAGAACGGACACATTGACATCATCAAGTAAGAGCGGATTGTAAAAAAAACTGATGTTTATGATGTCACAGCTGTGACAGCAGATAACTGCTCTGTACTGTTCCTTTAGCACTGCTGGTATGGCGACTTAAGGTGAAAAATTTCTTAATAACATTTTCAAATGTCTGACGATGTTGACAAGGGAAGGACAAAATTATTGGTAATACTTTATAATAATAATCTTATTCACGAGTGATGGGAAGAGGGATCGTGAGATCGGCTGCTGGCTGGAACAGGTGGCAGCAGTAATGTGGTCGCTACCCGACTGTCGTGGTGAAGAGGGAGCTGAGCCATAAGGCAAAGCTCTCTGTTTACTGGTCTGTCTACATCCCAATCCTCACCTATGAGCTTTGGGTAATGACTGAAAGAATGAGATTGCGAATACAAGTGTCGGAAATGAGCTTTCTTCACAGGGTGGCAGGCTACACTCTACTCGATAGGGTGAGGAGCTCGGTCATCCAGGAGGAGGTCAGAGTAGAGCTGATACTCCTCCGCATTGAGAACCAGTTGAGGTGGTTTGGGCTTCTGACCAGGATGCCCCCTGAACGCCTTCTGGTGAGGGTTTACCAGGCATGGCCTACTGGGATGAGCCCCTGGGGTTGGCTTAGGACCCACTGGAGGGATTATATCTCTCAGTTGGCCTGGGAGCAGTTTGGGGTTCCCTGGAATGAGCTGGAGGAAGTTCTTTCTCTGCTCTCCCAACTGCTACTGAGACCCTATCTGGATTAAGAGATTAAAGATGATGATGATGGTGATGATGATGATGATCATAATATTGACAAAATAGGATAAACTGGTGCTACTTTAAAATGTTGAAAAAACACAGCAGTGGAAAATATTTTAGGAAGAATAATGCTACAATGCACAAGTTTAGTGACATTTTTAGTAAACAAAACAAAAGCAGTACAGACCAAAATCATATGATGGAAAACTAAATTTTCCTAATTTAAAAAAAAGACTTTTTAACATTTCATAAAAAATACATTTTAAAACAATATTTTTTCTGCAAATGTTAATGCACAGATATGCTATATTTGATTAACTGAAAGAATAGAAAAAAAGTAAAATGGTTATTGTGGGTTACATAAAAGTTTGTGAAGTCTCATGAGTAAACTAACTTATTAGGCCTTAATTGACTTGTTAGGACTGGTTAGGCAAGTCAAGAATTATCATTAGGAATGATGATAATTTCATTGTTTAATAATTTTTCCTGACTCTTCAAACTTATGGTAACAATCAACAGCTATGGGCTCCTCTAACCAGCTAGGTGATGATCTGAAATGAAGCTAATTGATGCTTACAAAGCAGGTGCTATAAAAGGAAATCAAAGGGTGTCCAGTTTGCAAGTTCCACTGTCCAAAATGTCACTTAGAAATAGTAGTTAAGGGGAGCTGTGGGAGTCAAGGCAAGATCTGCAAGACCAAGAAAACTCTCAGACAGAACTGCTTGTATGCTGGCCAAAAAGGCAAAGCAAAACCCCCATATGACAGCAAAGAAGGGTTTAGCTGATACAGGAGTGGTGGTGTTGCAGTGTTGCTTGCACAAACATGATCTGCATGAAAGAGTCATCAGAAGGAAACCTTGCCTGTGACCTCATCACAAAAGTCAACGTGTAAAATAATCAAAACATCTCGATAAGACTGAGGTATTTTGTAATCCAGTGCCATGGACTGATGAAGTAAAAATGGAACTCTTAGGCCACAATCACCAAAGGCATGTTGGGAGAAAAAAAAACGGAGCAGCATTTGATGAAAAGAACACCTTGCCAACTGTTATGCGTAGGAATCGATCTATTATGCTTTGGGGCTGCATAGCAGCCAGTGGCACAGGAACCATTGCATGGGTAGAAGAGTGGATTCCACTAAATATTGGCAAATTCTGGAATTAATGCGACACAGTTGAGAACCTGATGCTACGAAAAGGCTGGCTTTTACAGCGGCACAGTGATCCTAAACAAACCTCTAGACCTCAAAACCCACCACAAACTACTTGATTCTACAAAATGATTTCCTGATGAAAACATACTAAACATAATATTTTTATGTGACAAAACAAAACTCATAGCAGTTTTCTGCAGGAAATGACATTAAGCATTTGTCTGGCTATAAGTCAGTTTGCAGGGATCATGTTAAAAAAATGAATGCATTTTCATTTCAGTGCTTGCATAATGCACAAACCGGTGGAAACTTAGCTAATGACACCACAAGGGACAGTTGAAGGGAAACTGAAAATGCTGTATAGTGACAAAGTGGAAAAATGTTTGGGGACCACAATTTAAGGTCAAGGGTTAGGAGTTTATGTCTAGCCAATTTATTAGCTACCTTGTATCTCCACCTTGCTCAGAGACTGTATCTATTGATGCAGATTTTGTGTTAGCCATTGTCTAGCCCTTCATCAGTGGTCAGTAACTGACCAACTAAACTTGGTAATTAACTGATGAGCTGAATCAGGTGGGAAATCACCAATTTGTGCTAAATTCCAGCCTTCCTGGATCGGAGTTTGAGACTACATGCTGGGCTACAGCATGTTATTGTATACCTACATAGTGGAGCTCCTAAAGTGGCCAGTGAGCGGAAATACAAGGTTGGTGTTTCTAGTAAAGTGGCCAGTGAATGGAAGTCCAAGGTAGATGTTTCTAATAAAGTGGCCAGTGAGTGAAAATACAAGGAAGGTGTTTCTAATAAAGTGTCCAGAGAGTGGAAGTACAAGTAGGTGATTCTAATAAAGTGGCAAATTAGTGGAAGTCCAAAGTAGGTGTTTCTAATAAAACGGCCAGTGAGCAAAAGTACAAGGTAGATGTTTCTAATAAAGTGGCCAGTGAGTGAAAATACAAGGAAGGTGTTTCTAATAAAGTGGCCAGTGAGTGAAAATACAAGTAGGGTGTTTCTAATAAAGTGGCCAATTAGTGGAAGTCCAAAGTAGGTGTTTCTAAACAAAACGGCCAGTGAGCAAAAGTACAAGGTAGGTGTTTCTAATAAAGTGGCCAGTGAGTGGAAGTACAAGATAGATGTTTCTAATAAAGTGGGTGACTAGTGAGAAGAAAACTGCTGTGACATCTTTTTGACTGACTTTATCAAGTAATAATCTCTGATACATTACAACTTGTGCTATCATTGGGGCGGATCTTTGAGCTAATTAAATTAGTACTTAATTCCTATATGCCCTCTCGTAAAAAACAGATTAGCTCATAGCAGGGCTGCACAAGATATCATTTGTTCGTCTTTATCACAGTATGGGCTTTGCAGAAGGCTGTGATATCAGTGCTTCTGTAGGCACTGTAGGAGTCAAGGTATTCATCTAACCCAGCAAAAGTTGTTTTGTTCAATGATACAGGCCAATCTTTAATAATGCCACATTACTGATAATTGATTGATAATTGATAAAGCTTTCATTTTTGAGAGATAGGATAAAATCAAGCTCCACTCCTGCTTCAAATCTGAAAAAATCCACAGGTGTTTCTGTCCATCCTTCCACTGTGAGAAGACAACTCAGCACTATGGGTCTGAAAGGATGTGTAGCCTGTGGCATGCACCCATCCCCTGGGCCCCAATGATGGCTGCGAAAGCCCCCTGGAAGGTGGGATCCGAACCGTGAGCCCAGATAAAACCCTGCAAAGACTGTGGGGAGAGGACAAAATCCACAAGGGAGTGGGGGACAGCATCCCATGCCCCGTTTCCTGGGCACCGCCTCCAGTCCCGCGGTGAGGCCACTTTAATTTGCCTCACGTTCGATCCTGGTGGCCGAGTCGGAGAGCGGGGGCGGTGTCAGAGGCAGAGCAACAAGCTCTCGTTCTCTCTCGGCTCAGGAGCATCTTTTAAAAGAGCAGAGAGGGAAAGGGAGCTTGTTGCTGTCTTCGCAGGGTTTCATCTGGGCTTAAAGTTTGGCCCTCGCCTTCCTGCCAGCTCTCGTGGCCGTCATCAGGGCCCAGGGGATGGGTGCATGTCACAAAGCCATTAGTAAAGGGACTGAACAACAAGGACTATTTACAAATTATGCTAAGAAGAAAAATTTACTGGCTATCCAAGTTCAGACCTCAACTTCTCTGAATGTGTCTGGATTTACTTGGAATCATGAGAAGCAGAAAACGCACCTAACTTGTAACACTGAAATTTGATGGAGTGCAAACACATCCCTGCAGATTTCTCTGGACAACTGAACGTTGGTACACAAAACCTTGGGGCAAGTGGGATGTTGTAGTCCAACAGAGCTGAGGAGCAGAGTAGATGGGAAATGTAGTTTTCTGCAAAGCGAAGGCAGCGTGTGCACCCTGAAAGGTGCCGTGGGGATTTTTCATCAGTATCTCTGACGCACTCTCACTCTCTCACACACTCAGTGTCCTCATTTCTTCGTTTTGATGGACGCTGCTGTCACTGCATGATGACGCATATCGTTAATTAGTTTTACGTGTCTTGACTGGCAGCCCAGTGTGTCTGTGTGTATGTGTGTGTACTTGTATTGCAACAGATTTGAGAGCCAAATTTCTTCATTCATACATTTATGCAAGGACCTTTTCTGCTAGTCCTCACATTTTTTCTGTACGGGCATGTTTTTTTATAGAAATATTACACACTGTTTATGTGTGTGTGTGTGTATGTGTGAGAAAGAAAACGGACATTCTTTCTCACATGCCCTGCCCTGATAGGCCTTGACCTCTATTCTCAGATGTAGCTTTTCAAATCTGGATTCAATTTCTGAACTGCTGTGCATAAAGGAATATTGTGGTGTCTTCAGTCATTGACAAGCAATTTACCCAGTGGCAAACCATGACTGTCAGAGCCAAGGCCTTCAGCTCAGCCTCAGCTAGTGTATTTATGGGATTCTGGTAGTTCCTTAGCACTAAGATAGTGGCAATTCACATGAGCAGCTAATAACAAGATTTAACTAAAGTTCTGTTGTACTTCCCTTCTCAAGACTCGACTCACATTTGAATCCCAGAGACTAAAGACTAGACTTGGACCTGCACTAGACTCGAGACTGAACTCATACCTCAGATACTCTAGACTTGAATCAGTCTCTTACCCCAGAGACTCAAAAGTTCCAGTTCTCACCACAGAGACACGAGACTCAACTTGGACTTGCACCTCGGACCTTAGAGACACCTCAGACTCAGACTTGTACCTCAGAAACTCAAGAATTGACTTGAACTCACACATCAGACACTCCACAGCCAAATAGACCAGAAGACAAACCCCAGATACTCGAGAAACGACTCCAACTTGGATTTTCACCCCAGAGACTTAAGAATCGTCTCAGACTTGAAGCCCAGAGACTTATGCCTCGACTTGCTTTCCCATCTCAGAGACTTGAGAACTGTCTGTTACTTGCACATCTGAGATACACCTTAGATTCATACTTCAGTGATTCGAGACTTGACTTTGATTCACACTCCAAAGATTTGAGACTCGACTCGGACTTGCAACCTAGAGAATCAAGGATTGACTCTCACCTCAGAAACTTGAGAATCAGATCAGATGTGCACCTCAGAGATTCGGCTTGGACTGACAACCCAGCGACTCGAGACTCAATCCGCACCTCTGAGATTCGAGACATGACTTGCAGTCGCACCCCAGGCTTGAGGCTTGAGACTTGACACATGCTTTTGACTCTGGCTCACACCCTAGAAACTCAAGACTTGACTCAGAATTGTACCCCAGAGATGCAAGACTTGACTTGGACTTGCTCCCTAGAGACCTGAGACTTGATTGGACTTGCATGAAATGACTTGTGAACATCTACTGCAGAAATGGGGGGGTAGGGAATGGGGGGTATGGGGGGAGAAGAAACACTAGATAAGTAGGTGTCTACTAACCTTTGGACGTTCACTATATGTGCATGTTACAGGTTGCTGATCCAGGCTGGTATAGATATAAATAGGCAGACCAAGTCTGGCACAGCACTGCATGAAGCCGCCCTTTGTGGGAAGACTGATGCTGTGCGGCTACTTCTGGATGTGAGTATCCATGACGACCTCTTAACATTTTGTATCACAATTTTGTGGCAGATGTTATAAATGTACATTATGTATTAATATGGAAACTGTGTGTGTGTTTGAGTGTTTGTATGTGTGTTTTATGTATTTATGGACCTGTATGTATGTAAATTGTGTGCATGTGTGTGTGTGTGCGTGCACGTATGCATGTGTGTGTCTTTCTCTTTTGTTCTACAGAGTGGTATCAGTGCCAGTGTGAGGAACACGTACTGTCAGACAGCACTGGACATTGTTAACCAGTTCACCACCACACAAGCCAGCCGAGAGATTAAACAGATGCTGAGAGGTATGGAAAACGAGAGAGAGAACCAAATAATCTCCTCTAAAGGAAATAAATTGTATGAATTCAGGAGAGAATGATGGACAGAAATATATAGCTGTTTCTAGGGAATTTTACAGATTTTCAAAATTTCAGCATAAATCTATTGAGACCAGGATTCCTGCATATGAAGACTTAAAATTGATTTATAAAATTTAAGGTCATAAAATGTCTGAAAATGTCTTTTTTTCACAAATTATGTGAAATGCAGTACGTGAAATGCTAATGAAAACAGAAAGCAATGATCAGTAACATCCATTTGACCTGTATTCAATTGAAAGCGGTACAAAAATATGATATTTGATTTAATTGTTTATTGTAAATATATATACTCCAAATTTGACGTGTGCAACAACATGTCACATCACCTTTAGTTGTTAGAAGCCTGTCTTCAGCTGGGCAACTGTATAGGGTTTTGGGGTTGTATTTTGCTCTAAATATTGTGCCACACATTTTCAATAGAAGACAATCAGGTCAGTCTAGTACCTGCACTCTTTGATTACACCGCCATGCTATTATAACCTGTGCAGAATGTTACTTTGTGTTGTTATGTTAAAGTAGGCATCGACGTCCATGAAAAAAAATGCTGTCTAAAATGTTTATATAACTTTGAGTGTCAAAGGTGCTTTCAAAAATGTGCAGGTTACCTACTAATACTGTTAGTAGACAGATCCTGGCTTTTAAACTTTATGCTGGTAACAATCTAGATTGTCTTTTTCTTCTTTGGCCCAGAGAACAGGACATCCATTATTTCCATAAACAACCTGAAAAGTTGACTCTTCACACCACTATACGTGTTTCCACTGTGCATCAGTACGTTTCAAATAGGCTGAGGCCCTGAGAAGTCAGCAGTGTTTGTGGACATTGTTGACATACGACTTCCACTGTGCAAAGTACAGTCTTAACTCGCATTTGTGCATGCAGCAACAGACAATGTTTATTGAGAATGGTATTCCCAAGCTGATGTGGTCATGGTCATTCAGTTATGGTTTTTGGCCATTCTTTTTATGAGGGCTGTCTTATTCTAAAGTGGTTCCTATCTCTGATATACACGTACGTAATGCATACAATTTGGTTACTTTTTCTAGAAAGCATTTTTCATCAAAACAAACTAAATGACATGCTGAAATTTTTAAATTCCAAAATTGCCATCATTCTCATAACATACTCTCTTATTTATAGGTTTGGGATGATAAAAAAACAATTTGATTGCAGATAAATGTATAAATTATTCTAATGTGCCTGTCTTGTGAAACTTCACAGTTCAAATAATTAGTAGGGACCTGAAAAAGGAAACGTTCAGTGATGTTTAGAGGAATCTTTCAAGCATTCACAGTGGCTCCTATTTCAAAATTCAGAAGAGGATTACAGTACAAGCAACTGTTAGTATAGTATATGCAGTATATTATTTATCATTAAATCACTGATTGTTCCTGAATGTCTAAACACATTCTTTGGTTGCAATACATTTTTACTTTGTAATTTATCAGTATAACTTATTTAATAATGTAAATTTACTATATTTAAGTGGTACTGCTTTATAATAAGAGTCCCGTTATATAAGATTTATAAATGGTTTAAAATGAGGGTCACACTTTATTTTGATGGTCCACTATAGATGGTCTGTTGATATTTAAAATATTAAATTTTCTGGTGATTATCAACAACATTATGGATATTATGGAGTAGGTGTAAGTTTTGTGTTGACGTTTAGGGCAAGGATTAGATTTAATAGAATCTTTCATATTGAACTTAAAGTTCAGTTGGATTTAATACATATTCAGTTAAATGTTAATTAACAACTGAGCATCTATAATGTATCTACAGAGGATCATCACAATAAAGTGTTACATGGTTATTAATTAGGAAAGACCTTAAAACTCATTAATAAACATTTATAACGCTTAAATAAAAAGTGCAATGGTAACCTGTTGTTTGCCAAATTGTGGGCCCACATTGATCTACATAAATATAAATTATAAATTGTATTATCATATTAATCAGATATAAAAGCTCACTGCTGCCATTTTTATTAATGTGTTATAAGTATATTAATGGCTTAAGATGTTGATGAACTAATTATTAACCATTAATAAATTATTAAGTCATATATAAACAATTTATGAGGGCAGTCTTATTCTTAAGTGGTACCATTTCCACTATATTATATAGCTATTATTATACAGAATAAGAAAATGCATTAATTTGACAAATGATTTCAAACTTTTGAATGATAATATATGAAGAATTACCATTATGACTGTACTGTAATAGTTTGTTTCTGTACATGCAGATGCCTCTGCTGCCATGCAAGTGAGGGCGCTGAAAGATTACTGCAACAACTATGACCTGACTAGCCTCAACATCAAAGCCGGTGACATCATCACGGTAAATACCCACAGCGCAATGGAACATTTGCCCAGTAGGGGAGAAAAATCGCTACTGAGCAAAAATACATCTGCGTTCTTACTGTTAGGCCTGCAAATCTCTGACCCCACAACCGTTTGAGTCAGTTATTTTAGTCCATTAATGCAGAATTACTCCTTATATATAATAATTACACATTTACAAAGTAGGGAAACATGCACAATAAAAACAATGCAAGCTTTTTTATTTGAAAATAGTCTGAGGATATATTTATTTTGGTCAAACAATTGAATGCATTCCCAAATTAAAATGTTTACAATTTATTTAAAATTCCCACTTCTTCCAGATAAAATCTCGTTCTGAACGAGATCTTGCATAATTGTCCAGAGAAAGCCTTCTGCATTTCAGCCTGGCTTTTGAACCTAACAACCCAGAGCTACAGCTCCATCTGCTGGAACGGATCATATTTAAAGGAGATCTCCAGTGCTTTTCCACACATTGGTGGCCCTATGTTCAGGATGTCACCAATGGCAATTAGAAGCCTCTGAAATTGACCCTTGGTCAACTATTTTCTCCAAATTTAATACACTGTTTATCACAAAAAAGTTCTACAAAGATGCACTTAGAAGTGAATGTTAAAAAAAATGAAAGTGAAAAGTCATTATACACACACACTATGTGGCACACCTGACTATCACACTTATATGAGCTTATTGGACATCCCATTCTAAAAATATGGACATTACTCAGGAGTCCCCCACCCTTTACAACTGTTACAGGCACCACTTTTCTGGGATCAATCATCCCAAATCATCCCAAAGGTGTTCAGTGGGGTTAAGGCCAGGGCTCTGTGCAGGCCACTGGGGTTCCTCCACACCAAACACACAAACCAGGTCATTATGTGGCTCACTTTGTGTACAGGGGCTCAGTCATGCTGGAACAGGAAAGGCTCTTTCTTAAACTGTTGCCACAAACTTGAAAGCATATTGTGGCATACTGCCCCTGGACATGCTGTCATAGGAGCACAGGAGGCATGGCCATGCAAAGTAGCCATGCAGAGAGGCTCTTGAGAGGCGCCATGGTCCGGTAAAGGCTGGACGATATTTGTTGTTTAAATTGTGTTGTTTGAAGTAACCTGCCTGCTATCCTGGCCATTGAGTAGCACATGCTGCCTGTTCAATAAAAGAACATTTGTCTGCATACACAATGTTTACCTCTGGTTCTTTATCACCTAGATGATACAATATAAGTGTCATAAATGCCTTTGTATGCTGTAGTATTAACATCACCCTTCACTTGAACTAAGAGGCCCAAACTCACTGAGCTCTGACTATAACCTATTTTACTTCTAGTGTCATGGCTCTGTGCTTGATTTTGTGCACCTCTTAGCAATGGGTGTGGCTGAAACACTTGAACTCAATAATTATGAGGGGTGACCACATACTTTTGGCCATATAGTATATACATTTATGGTACAATTCAGTTTCTTTGATTTTTTTCCATCCTAATAACTTTTACCACATTAAACGTGTTAAAATATAGTGACAAATAAGTATAAATACAGTGCAGTGATGACATGTTGAAACTATTAAGCTCCTAGGCAGTAGATGTTAATTCACCACAATGATATGCAATGACATTTTGCACTTTTACATTAGGTTATTTTTTATTACACTGTAGTAATTTGGGCTTGAGTTCACAATATGAATATGAGATGATAGATCAAAATTTCAGCTTTTATTTGCTGATATTTACATCTAGATAAGTCGAACAACTTAGAACAGGGCACCCAAGTAATAGGTGAGCAAATGTATAAGATCAGATAGTCTTAAATTAATATATGGCTGAATATCCCTTGCTTACAATAACTGCAATAACAGCCATCTGGTGATAGACTTGGCTAGTCTAAAACCTTCCCCTGCTGAAGTCCTTTGTTGTGTTGGCAGTGTGTTTTGGATGCATTTCTCTGAAAATTGGCAAACAGAATGTTTCTGTAAGTATCTGAATTCATTCTGCTGCTACCATCATGAGTTACATCATCAATAAAGATTAGTGAGTCCCTTCTGAAAGCACTCATTCAATCCCAAGCCACGACACTACCTCCACCATGCCTGGCCAGTGAGCTTGTATGTTTTGGATCAAGAGCAGATCCTTTCTTTCTCTACACTTTGGCCTTTGTATCACTTCGGTAGAGGTTAATTTTGGGCTCATCAGTCCATAAATCTTCCAGAATTGGCTCATCTCTGTATTCCTTTGCGAATTGCAATCTGGGTGTCTGATTCTTATTTCTGTTGAGTGGTTTACATCATGTGGTATCTATGTTTCAGCTTTCAATGTCTTTTTTCGATTGGTGGATTGTGATACATTCACCCCTGTCCTGTGGAGGTGGTTAGTGATGTCACTAACTGTTGCCTTTGGGTTTCTCTTCACAGCTCTCACGATGTTTCTGTCATCAACTGCTGTTGTTCGGTGTCTGGTTGTTAGTACACCAGTGGTTTCTTTCTTTTTCCCTCTTTTCTCAGCTTTAAAATGGCTTGCTTTCCTCCATAGACAACTCTCTGCTCTTAATGTTTTTTTTTTTCCTTTCAGCAAGAAATGCATTCATCACAGGTGCTATTAGAGCTATTAATTGTTAAAAAAAAAATAATAATTTTTGCTCCCTTGAAAAATGAGTGGGTTTAAACAAAGAGTCCCATGTTCTAAGTTGTTTAACAGATCTAGAAATATGTAAATAAGTGAAAGATGAAATTCTGATCTGTTGTCTCGTCATCTTTTAATGGCAAACCTGTACATCTTCAGTGTATAGCAAATTTTTTCATAATCAACATCACCAATGATTAACTGACAACTAATAGTTGCTCTACTCTAAAGCACTGCATGTTGTCTGTTAGGCTTTCAAAGCTGCACTATATTTGACTGATCCTGGTTCGGTTTATGCTTCAGGTCCTGGAGCAGCACTCTGACGGCCGATGGAAGGGCTGCATCCACGACAACCGCACAGGAAACGACCGCGTAGGCTACTTCCCGTCCAACATGGTGGAGGTCATCAAGAGGGCAGGTGTGCCATTGCGTTATCACATGACCTCTCAGGTCATGTGACATACGCTATTGTCCTAGTTCTGCACTAGCTCATCTACATGGTACATGTAATACACCAACGCTTTGTGTGCGTGGTTAAGTGAGAGAGAGAGAGAGAGAGAGAGAGAGAGAGGGGTCTGGTGTCCTGGACATAGATTAAATCAATGCGGAAGCATTTTTAAACCTAATCCCTACCTGCCACCACTGCATTGTATAATAACACAGACCATAATTCACACGCATGTCCCTGTACTTAAAAACCTCTTGATAATCACTTGTTGTATTTCTATAGTTTTACTTTAGGTAGTTGTTGAATTCTCTGATTAAATATTTGAAGTATAATTGTTTACATGATACAGTATTAAAACTACAACATTCCAGGGTGAGACAGGCATAAGAGGATGTATTTCCAAAGCTGTTTATAGGTTTTATTCATCTTTCAAACACTGGAGCAAAACTGTAAAAAAGTATTTCCAGTTACTTTTGTTTCCCTAAGGTTTTCTGGTGACCATGGTGATCAGGTGGAGCCTATGAAAACTCCACCCACACCACTGTGATGGTAATGAATTACCACAGATCCTTCCCTCTGCAAAACTAGTAACATCTCTCAAAGAATTAATTATACCAATGTACAGCTTTAGTTTTACAGCTGTTTCCAAAAAAAGTTGGGATAGTAAGTGAAATGCAAATAAAAACAGAAAGCAGCACAACATGAGATGTCTAATTTTTTATTAGTTTCGTTGTATTTTGTAAATATTCTGAAATTGAGGCCTGCAACACATTCCAAAAAAATTGGACCAGGGCAATTTAGGACTAGGAACATTGGTAATGTTCAGAAATCATTTTGAAAGAGGTGATGTAATCATGCTTGCGTACAAAATGAGCATCCAGAAAATACCAAGTAGTTTACAAGCAAGGATGGGCTCACCATTTTGCAAAAAAACTGCATAAACAACTAGTCTAACTGTTAAAGAAAAACATTCCTCAGCAAACATTTGCCGGGATTTAAGGCTTTTCACCCTCTACCCATCATTATGTCCACAAATGCAAGCTATGACTGTACTAGGCAGTGGAAGTCAAATGTCAGCAATGTCCAGAAATGCTTCCGACTTCTCTGGGCCCGAACCCATTTGAAATGGACTGATACACAGTGAAAATGTGTTTTGTGGTCTGACGAGTCAACCTTTCAGATTGTTTATGGATATAATGAACATTATGTTGCCTGGAACAAAGAAGAAAAGGATCATCCAGATTTTTCCCAGTGTAAAGTTCTAAATCCAGGATCTGTCATGGTATGAGGGGGCGGTATTAGTGGGTAATTTGCAAATCTGTGAAAGCACCATTAACGCTGAAAGATATACACATTTCGAAGCAACATATGCTGCCTTTTAGACACCGTCTTTTTCAGGGATATTCATGCTTATTTTAGCATTCAACATTCTGCAGGTTACAGCACAGCCCTGCTGTTGTAACGTGCAGAATGCCAAGCCACATTCTGCACATGTTGCAACAGCATGGCTGTGTAATCAGAGAATGTGGGTGCTCAAATGACCTGCCTGTGTCCTATTGAAAATGTGTGGTGCATTATGACGTGCAAAATATACAACGAAACCCCTGTGCAGTTGCACAGCTGAGAACTTATATAACACAAGAATGGCAAAATTCGATCAGTTGGTTTCTTCAGTCCCCAAGCGTTTATTAAGTGCTGTTTAAAGGAAAGGCAAAGCAACATAGTGGTAAACATACTCCTGTCTCAACTTTTTGGAATCAGCATGTATCAGCAAAATAATGGTCAGAAGGTAAAGCAACAAATATTATGATTCTGTGCTGTTTTGAATTAAATACAGATCTAACAGAATTTACTAATCACTGCTTTCTGTTTCTATTGCCATTTCACATGCTGTTTTGGAATAGGGTTTGTAGAAAAATACATATTTCACATTAAAGTTTACGAAATTAAGCAACTGCCCATTGGCTTCTATTGTAAAAGAGTTTCTGTTCTTTTTTATGTCCAGGGAAATGCATCAAAATTATTCTGGTAATCAAATGTAAACTGAAGATATGGTAGACGGAGGATAGGTTAAAAAGCACTCCAAGCTTATTCTGCTGATGGAAATGATAGTGGTTTGAGAATCTGTGTCTGGGAAGCTGCGAGAGAGCTTTTTTTGTTGTGTGTGTTTGTGTGCGTGCGCACGGGTGTTCGCTCACTGGCTCCAAGTGTCCGACACGTTCACCGCGAGTCCAGTGATTTTAATTAGAGCAGTCAGCAGGATGGGAGGAGAGCGAGATGGAGAGACAAGAGCAAAAAAGAGGGCAGATATGATGGGAAGTAGTGGCTCATCTATCTGCCAGTGGCTTGTCCGTCTCTATCCCACTGTGTCATCATTTCCATGCTCCGATTTTTTTTCCCACTTGCTTTTTTGTGTCATTTACATCTACAAATGCACACAACACATACACACATACACACATGAAGGCACACATGAACTGCAAACACACTGGCAGACATGTACACACACACTAATTCATATATGCCTATATATATATATATATATATATATATATATATATATAGTAGGGCTGTCAAAGTTTATTCACATTTTGTGTAGTTAATCAATTAATCACATTTGTCTTATTTGCTCAAACGTTTGATCCTTTCCATTTTAAAAGCACTGTTATAGCTATATGAGTGAACTTAATAAGCTTATTCAGAATATATTTGTTACCTTCAATAATGCAATAACTTCACATGAGCCTGAAGATAAAAGTCACATGATTTCCACAGGGTGAACACAGTTTTATGTACAACCCCATTTCCAAAAAAGTTGGGATGCTGTGCAGAATGTAAATAAAAACGCATGCAATAATGCAATGATGTGCAAATCATTTAAACCCTATATTTCATTGCAAATAGTACAAAGACAACATATCAAATGTTGAAACTTTATTGTTTTTTGAAAAATATATGCCCAATTTGATGCCAGCAACACGTTCCAAAAAAGTTGGGATGGGGAAACAAAAGGCTGGGAATGTTGTGTAATCCAAAAAAAAAAAACACCTGATGGTTAATTGGCAGCAGGTCAGTATAAAAGAGCATCCCAGAGAGGCTGAGTCTTTCAGAAGTAAAGATGTGAAAGACTGCGCGAGTAATCAGTGCAACAATTCAAGAATAACGCTTTGCGTTATGCAAGGGACAAGCCCAAAAACCAGTATTTGCTGGCCGTGATCTTTGGGCCCTCTGATGGCACTGCATTAAAAACAGACATGATTCTGTAGTGGAAATCACTGCATGGGCTCAGAAACACTTCTGAAAACCACTGTTCATCTCAAAACAGTTCATCACTGCATCCGCAAATGCAAGTTAAAACTCTAAAACACAAAGAAAAAACTGTACATAAACAGGATCCAGAAATGCCGCCACCTTCTCTGGGCCTGAGCTCATTTAACATGGTGAAGAGGAAAAGTGTGCTGTGGTCTGACTGAATCAACATTTGAAGTTCTTTTTGGAAATCATGGACGCTGCGTCCTCCAGGCTAAAGACCACTCAGCTTGTTATCAGTTTGCAGTTCAAAAGACAGCATTCATGATGGTATAGGGGTGCATTAGTGCACATGGCATGGGTGATGTGCACATCTGTGAACGCGCCATTAATGCTGAACGATAATATACATGTTTTGGCAGCATATGCTGCCATCCAGACAACGTCTTTTTCAGGGAAGACCTTGATTATTTCAGCAAAACAATGCCGAACCACATTTCTGCCCATATTACAACAGCATTGCTCCATATTAAAAGAGTCAGGGTGCTAAACTGACCTGCCTGCAGTCCAGACCTGTCACCACTGAAAACATTTGGTGCGTTATGAAATGAAAAGTATGACAAAGGAGACCCCGAACTGTTGAGCAGCTGAAATCCTATGTTAAGCAAGAATGGGAAAAACATTTCACTTTCAAAACTACAGCAGTCGGCCACCTCATCCATAGGTCTCCCATGTGCACTGTCCAGTGCTGAAAGTCCTGAAGGTGTCACTTCAAATCCATTTAAAAGCTGAATTTCAATGACAGGGCTATAGTCATGGATTCCTTCGTAGAAACAGCTGTAGCTGGGTTTCAGTCTGCACTACTATGGATGGTACAAAGGGTCAAACTAGAAAAATGCATTAATGGCTTTAAAAAATGTGTCATTGATCAACACATTATTAATATGTTAACTTTGACTGCCCTAGTATATACACTTCCATGCATTTCCCCATGCATGACTGTATGAGGCACGCAATGTTAAATGTTTTCAGAATTGATTTGCATACATAGTGCATTGTAAGTGTTTTACGTTGGAATGCTGTGCATGGCAATGTTTTTTTGGCCATTTTACTGTTACATGTACATAAAGTTAAATGTACATAATTTGATTTTCTCCTTGCATGCTTTTTTTTTCGATTTCTAAGCTATTTTTGATTTGATAAGTTGATGGGACCTGTAAAGTTAAGTGCATAGAGTTAGCTATTTTTGCTTGAACATGTTTTATTTTGTGTTTCCTTTCCTGTTGTTTTGTTGTTGTTCTTGTTGTTGCTGTTTGTGTTTTTTTGGTGTTGTTGTTTTTTGTTGTTTTGTTGTACCCAGGACCCTCTACTCAACAGTATCTTAAGATACAGATCCGTCCGCCGGCAATTGGCTCAGTTGCCATGGTGAACGGTGACTCCTCCCACATTCTCTCTCTGCCCCTGACTCCCCCGCCCCCTCCTACCCTGATCTCTTCCCATCAGCCCCTCTTCACCTCATTCGGGTATAACACACCCACCTGCAGCTCATTTGCGTATGAACCGCCCTCCTCCCGCTCAGAGGAGCCGAAAAAAGAGACAGGTACAAACACTCACGTGCACAAAACACCTGCACTGTCACTGACACATACACTTAAAAAATTAAGCATCATAACTTCATCTTTGCCCCATCTTTATCTTTTCTCATAACTATGTATTCCATA